GGAGGTGCGGAGCGTGGATGCGGGCAGGTCTGGCAGCGGCGAGCGTGAGGTGGGGAGGAGGTGTGACGCGCAGCGTGTGTGGAGCCGTGAACAGGGCCAACCAATCAGAAGCCGATTAATCGATTATTGAAAACGTTGACAACTTTTTCAATAATCGATTATGTCGATTAGTTGTTGCAGCCCTAATTTCCACTGTCATCACCCTTCTGGCCGGCATCCCTTGATCAGAAGATCGAAGGTGCAGGCTGGAAAATCTTCCAACGAATGGTGCTTGGATTCAAAGAAAACAGCGGGTGATTCCTCCATCCACGCACAAAAGTGTTGATAGCAGAATCTGTTGTATTTTTTTCCACCCTTGGTTGAACCAAAAAATAGCACAGTGTATGGTTCTCTCTAGCATCAGGCATCTTAGGCCCCGTTCACATATGGGCTTCTTGTGAACGCAGATTAAACGTATACAAAAGAGGATGTTTTTTGATGCACATTCGCGAAATGTGCACAAACGCAGACCATGCTTGCGTTGCCATTACTAGGCAATGGCACCCCAAACACGGCCGAGTGAGGGCAGATTTTTCCCAGCAAGTGAGAACATGCACGCACACGCAGGGAAAAAGAAAAAAGACACGGAATGAATGTTGCCAAATTTACTTATTTCCCGCAGCCAGGATGTTCCCACATCCCCGACAGCAAGCAATTGAGCTGCAAGTTTGGAAATGACTTGCTAAACTATTGCAGACTTGCCAAGCTTCACAATTTTGTTACACAATTACAGCAAGTCTGCATTGCAAGTCTCCAGATCAACGTGCTTTGCAAAAGTGCTGTACACTTGTAGAGCTCTTGTTAACACCTGCAGGACTCTTGCTGTAGACTTGCCAATCAAATTTGCTGCAAATTCAAAAACTAGAACGTGTGCTGCAAGTCTACAATTTGCCAGGCATGTGTGCAGCAAGATAGAAAGAATTACAATTTAATCCTGCCACAAGTTTGTGGCAAGTTATCCTTGCTATCTCGGTCGCTGTGGTGTAAATGGGCTGAGTACTTACACTGCCCTGTGCATACGCTGTGCAGCAGGGGTGGGCAACTCCAGCCCTCCAGTTGTTGTGGAACTACAAATCGCATGAGGCAATGCAACACTCAGACAGCCACAACTCCTAGAGGCATTATGGGATTTGTAGTTAAAGCTCAGCCGGAGTTGCCCACCCCTGATGTACAGTATACACAGAAGAAAAATCGCTGATGTACAGTATACGAGAAGAATGTTTTTATTGGGCAGAAGCGGCTTTACATGTCTCTCTTGTCAAAAATCCGTACCTCCCAACGA